CTTGCAGGGTTTGTTTCCTTTTCTTTCCCCCCCCCCCCTTCGGCCGGAACAGATTAATTGTGCTTCTGATGGGTCTTGCAGTGTTTTGTGGGGGTTTTTTGGTGATTTTTTTTTCTTTGACCAGAACGGATTAAGTGCATTCCTATGGGAAATGGTGCTTCGACTTAACAACCGTTTCTAGTTACAACTGCAGTTCCGGAACCAATTAAATTCGTAAGTCGAGGCACCACTGTACTGTATTGCCAGAAGAGGGGGCGGAAAAACTATGGTAGCCCGTAAGAACAACACAAGATTCAAAATCCAATGGCAGGCCATGTTTTTATTAAGACCAATTAATACTTCTGCACTTCTACAATTTTTCGAGTTCTCTGGGCATATCGTACCTGCCTATAACTTGGAAGGGGTGTTGTAATAAGAAATGAGAGTCAGTGAGTGGCGTAAGGCTTGTTCTTAGAATAATGGAGGTGGAAGGGGCCTGTAAGGCCATTGAGTCCAAGCCCCCCCCCAAGGCAGGAATCCAAATCAAAACATCTGGCAGATGGTTTTCTGATTTCCTCTTGCATGCCTCCAGCGTTGGAACGCTCACCACCTCCCGAGGTCATCGGTTCCATTGTCGTACTGCTCTAACAGTTAGGAAGTTTCTCCTGAGATTCATCCTAAATTTGAATATGAACATCTGCCAGGCCTTTTTACAAAGTACACACAAACACCCCTGGGAACTGTGAGGAAGGATCCTTTAATCCTCTTCTGCTTTTCCTTGGAAAGCATATCGAATTCTGTTGAACTTCCATGGAAATGCAGAACTGCCCTGGACCAGGAAGGTTAGCGCACCACTAAGTGCAAAGATTCCCCCCCCCCAAATTCTTTTTAATTCTGTTGTCCCGTTTCTATTCTTTTTAATACCTGAACCAGGAAGGAGGGAAAGACGTGGCCAGTAAAACCTCCTTTCCCCCCCTCCTCCCCCAACCTCCTCGGTCCTGCCAGCATTTCCTCCACCTCCCCTGTTTCAGTTTACTTAGGCGCTTAATGTTCTATTTTGAGTCGCTGGCCACGCGGGTGCTAAGCAGCCTGTGACCCTGAAGGTAAGCGTTACTAACCAGAGCGGTCGGGGCAGATTGCGCCAGTCCTGTCGCTGGCAGCCTCATGGAGGGGAACCGAACGCGGGAGCTGTCGGAAAGCTGGCCGCGAGAGTCTTTTCGCCAACTTGGGGGTCCTGGTTCTCAAGCGAAAGGTGAGCAGAGCAAAGGATCCCTCGCCTTTTTTTTTTAATTTGCATTTGCAGGAGATTGATCAGCAACTTCCTCCTCCTTCTCCCCCTTGAGAATAAGATTTTTTTTTTTTTAAACAAGATCTTCACGGCTGGAAAGTAGATACTTTCTCAAAGCTGATAATCTGAGGGCTTCCCCCCCTCCATTTCCATCACCCCACCCTTTTGTCAAAGCCAAGTATGGTAGGGTGCAGGTTTTCTTGTGTCCCCCCCCTTTAATTTAAAGCTTTAATTGGTTCTTCCGTACAGCAGGAGAGTGTGGATTTTTGTCCCGAAGCCAGCCGCTCCTCCACAATCCATTCCGAGGATGTGCCATTTTTAAAAAAAAATTTAATTCATTCCAAGCAGCTTCTTTATTCACAGAAGCAATCCATTACTGCAGAGCAATACCAGGAAGATGATGTGGGGAGGTGCCGGGGACGGGGGGGGGAGAATAAGGCTTCCGGAAAGACAGCTGCATTCGTCTCTTTTCAGCAACAGGAGAATCAAAAGTATGGTGGCACCTGTGAGTCTCATTTATTTTAGTAGGAGCTTTTGTGGGACGCTTTCTACTTCTTGCGATGCACATCTGGATCACAGGTGTCGATGCTTACTTGGTTCTTGGCTGGTTGGTTTGCCAAAAAAATAAGAACTAAAAAAACAAGCTGGGAAGGGTATCAGAATGAGGACTGTCGTCATTCGGGGCAAGAGGCTGGATGTGTTAATCTTTTTTTTTGGCCCCAGGTTGACCCTTCTGTTAACGATGGGCTGTAGCTGAGTGCGAGAAGCTCATGACTTTTATGCACGTGGTGCCAGATCTTGGCCCTTGCCATCTCCAGCAAGAGCTTGGGGGGGGGGGATCCTTCTTCTGAATCCTTGGAGGTTTTTTGCTGCCGGTCCGTGGAGACTACGCTGAACCAGATAGAACAGTGGTCTGTCTTTTTGTGGTGGTGATGTCCCGCTAAGTCACCTCTGACTTACGCTGTGAGCAATCTAATCTCCAAAATGAGTACATTTACGGCGTGCGCCATCTAATCCCCAAAATGTCCTGTCCTCAACAGCCCTGCTCAGCTCTTGGAGATTCAAGGTTGTGGTTTCCTGGATGGAGTCAGTGCATCTCGTATTTGGTCCTCCTCTTTTCCTGCCGCTTTCCACCTTTCCCAGCATCAGTGTGCTTTTTCCGGACAATCCTACCTTCTCACAACGTGCCCATAGTAGGACAGCCTCAGTTACAACACGTTTGCCTCCAGAGAGAGTTCAGACTTGATTCGATCCAGGATCCACTTTGTTCATCTTTGGTGGAAGTCCAGGATTTCCTCAAAGCTCTCCTTCGGCACCGCATTTCGAACGAACCAATATTGTCCTGTCGCTTTTCTTTACCATCCAGCTTTCACACCCGCGCAGGGTGATTGGGTAACATAATTCTGGACGGCATAGCTTCCATCAAAGCACATCTCCCTCTCTTATGTTGTCTTTTCTCGCACTCGGTGTCTTTCTTGCTTCTGGGAAATGTTTCCATCGATTTCTTTCTCCCCAAGCTGATGCCCGCGATGCGCTTTCCCCGTGGCTTGGCCCGGACGACTCAGAAACCCATCTCGCAGGCCGGGCGGGCGGGCAGTCCCAGTTGCTTTCCAATTTGGCAGGTTTCTGGTTAGCACACGCCTTCTTCCTTTGCACAGGATTTTAGAGGTGGAGAATAAGAGGAAATTGTTAGTGACGATAGCTTGGAACGACCCAGCCCATCTGTGTGGGAGGGAGGTACATGGCTGGGGTTCACCTCCGGCTTATGCTCAGGGCGTTTGCGAGCTTGGGTGTTGGGAGCTGCCGCTGGAACGGGTGTGCGCGCCGGCTTGCCGAGGTGTATGCTGGCTGGTCCTCCCGTCGTGCAGGGATAGGCTTTTTCTCCATTTTGCGGGACCTGCCGCTCCTGTTTCTGAAGGAGAGGCCGGGACCCCCGAGAGGACGATGCCGGTGAGGAAGTGGGAGAGGCACCTCCGTGCCAAGCGAAGGTGACCACGGAAGGGCTTGTCCACTTTACCTGGGAGTCTGAAGGGCTTTGAAGTCCGCAGGTGGAGGCAGAAAGGATATTTTTGCTTATTCGGAAGCCGAGCGTGCCCTGGCTTGTTACCCTCGGTTAACGTGTGTTGCGTTGGGAAATCCTGAATCTAACCAGGTAAGGCGTGGACTGTCTGCTTTTGCTCCCGTTCTGCCCAGGCTGTCACTTCGGACTTATGGAACTCTCTCTCTCTCTCTCTCTCTGCGTAGCCCTTAATCTGGGACGTGCTTGGCAAAGTCAGTGCTTTGTACCCGAAAATAGCGTAACCTTTTTTAGAAGGCTTTTCTCAGCTCCGGGAAGCTAACTCCGTCTCTCCCATGCCGTTTTGGAAGGCGCAGCGAATACGCTGCTTTTGGTCCTATGGCCCGTGCCATCGTCGCCAGATCTCCGATGCTCAAAGGATATAAAAAAGAAAACCAGATTCCCCCTTTCACCCCGTCTCTTTTCTCTTTGATCCGTGACTTAACCGGAGGGTCCCGAGGAGAGGAGAGAGAAAAAAAAACCTGGGGTCCATTTCGGAAGCTCTGGGGCAAGGCGGAGGAAGTTCTGCGGAAACACACCCATTCCGGACAGCTGGAAGCCTCCCCTCCCGGGCCCTGTTCTTTGTTTTCCGAGCCTCCTGTGGATGCCGTGTGTTTGGTTTCCTCTGCTAATAAAAACAACTTGCTGGCCTTCTGGAGACAGTGGGGGTGGCAGACGGCGGACTGTTTGGAGTCTGCTTCTGTCTGTCTCTTTCCTTGTATCCTAACAGTGGCCAAGCTGGGCATTATTGCACACATACCCTCTGCGTTGACACAAACTCTTGCCCGGAATGGAGTGGAAAGTTAACGGGTTAGACCCTTTGCTTCCCAGTAGTTTATTTATTTATTTTTATGGGACCTGTGGGTATCGTTTGACTTGGCACAATCCTGCTCCAGTCCAGGTCGCTCCTGTGAGCACCATCAAATAGGTTGCGGGGCCGTGTGGTCTACCACAACGCTACCGGGTGGTCAAAGGCTACCAGGCATTGAAGTGCCTCCCTTTTTGTATAGGAAGCTCCAGTTCCAGACATTTGTCCATGTTGGACGGCACTTGAGTCACAGCACATTTGCTCCAGATCCTCAAACAGAGGTTCCCCCCCCAGCATTTATTGCCTGGTATGTTTTCATAAGGAGGTGCTGAAGATTGACAGAAGCATCTTCTGTTTGCAAAGTGTGAGTTTAGGAGTGCCTGGGATTTAGTCAGAGTCATGTCTGGCCGTGGGTGGCGTAGCGCTGAACGGCTTCTGTGTTTTCCAGCGATGCTTCCCTGGAGTTGCGCTTATTGGCGGCCAGCGAGCATTCCCCCCCTCCCCCGGTGGATCGGTAAAGTTTCGTCGGCGGAAATTGTAACAGAAAAAGCTGAAAGTTCTGAAAAGCCTAACATGGACGGTGACAGGAAGAGAAGGAGCCTTAAACGGTCCCCGTCGTATAAAGTTGAACCGAAAATAAACCAAGAGTTTTGGCATCGTAATGTTCAGGAAGTGGAGGAGCGAAACCAGAACAGACTGAGATAGGAGGATAGTCTTTTGGCAATGGGGCCAAATCCTGATCCGGCCAATGTAGAATCCGGAACGGGTGGCAGTATGAAAGGAAGAGCCCAGAATTGTTGCTTTGGATGACTCTCGGAGAGACACTCAGGATCAGAGGAGCTGCCCTAGAAGAGCAGGTGAAAAGAATCCTGTAATCTGTCATATTCGACTCGACAGATTACAGTATTAGCGGGTCCAGAATGCGGCAGCCAGATCAGTGTTGGGTGCAAGTAAATGTGACCACATCGCGCCAGTTCTGGCTCGCCTCCACTGGTTGCCCATGGCGTCCTGGAATCGGGTTCAAGTTTTTGACACATACAAAGCCCTCCACGGTTTAGGAATTGGGGTTCAAGGTTTTGACACATACAAAGCCCTCCACGGTTTGGGCCCATGTTACTGGCCGGGGCGTCTCTCCTTAAGATCATCTGCCCGGCCCACAAGATCACCCCGGTCGAGGTGCCTCCAGGGGGGGCCACCCCGAGGGAGGCCCATAAGAGGTAGGGCCTTCTTTGTGGTGGCTCCAGCTTTATGGAACCAGCTTCCGGAGAAGCTCCACCCAGCCCCTTCCCTGTGGACTTTTATGAAGCAATTAAAGATGTTGCTTTTCAGAAAGGCTTTCCACACCAACCTCAACTAACCACCTTCCCCCCCCCCTTTCCCCTTCTTCCCTCCCCGCTTTTCCTCCATCCACTCTGGGATTAATCAGTGCCATCTGTTTTTTTTGGGGGGGGGGGGTTCCAAGATTTTTTATGGTTATTACTGTTGGTTTTAATATGTCTATTTTTAATTTGGTTTTCTATTTTACAAGTTATAACCTGTCCAGAATAGTCCTGCGACACAAATGGGAGCGGGATACAAATTGAATAAATAAAAATAAATATTACTGATCATGATGGATCTTCTCGATGAGTTTCAGTTTGTGAGAAGGTCTGTCATGATCATCGTGGTGGCTTCAACGTGCTGTTTTCATTAACCCCCAGCCAAGAACAAAAGGGACATGCAGGTCTACTTACTTACTTACTTACTTGCTTAATTTCCACCCCACCTATCTAGCGGCAGGATAAATAAAGTGATAACGGGGAAATGTCATAGTTCCTCTGATACAAGCCTGGCCACTGCATTTTGTACCTGTTACTGCTTCTGAACCGCCTTCAAGGGTAGCCCCACGTAAAGAGGATTTCAGTAGTCAATCTTCGAACATAAAGAGGATTTCAGTAGTCAATCTTCGAAATGACCAAGGCATGAACCAGCGTTATCAGAGACTTCCTATCGAGAAAGAGGGGAAGGTGTGGAGTCTGCCTAAATTGAAAACAGGCAGACGTGTCCGTGTCTGAGATCTGATTTTCCCTGGGTCCTTTTACAGCTTATTTGCACAATATGTTTGCAGAGAGAGATGCTCTTAGCAGTTGAGTGTTTCTATGTGCTTGTTCGTTTGGCAGTTTTAAGATTGGTTTTCCACGGTGGTTTGCTTCAGCAGTTGCATTGCCAGTCCTCTTTTTGAAGACCACCCGTCCACTAATTTGCCGACTGATTTTTACATAGTGAAAAGTCAGACAAGCTTAGAATGTCCACAGATTTTCAGTTAGTAAGTATGAATAAAATACGCCCCCCCCCAAAAAAAAAGGGTGTCATTTGAAAAACTAGCTGTTCCTTTGGTCTATTGGTGCATTGATTTATCTATTTACTTGTACCCCACTTTTGCACAGAAATTTTTAAACAATTAATTGGGGCCAGAGGTATGACTCTGTGGTCAGTACTGTTTTTATCTTTGCTCTCCTTCTGCAAGCAGGCAAAGACTTTTCCCTTCAGGCAAGCTTTCCCTCAGTGCCACCTGCCTGAGTGGGATTTTTAGAGAAATTGTTGCCCCTTACTGCTTTGACTGTGTTTTTAGTAATGCTTGTGTTTACCGTTCCTCAGAGTGGTATTTGTTTGTTTGTTCCTTTTCAGTATTTCCACACTCATTGTTCTTAGCATTAAAATACCATCTTTTAATGATGTCAAGCCACCGGCGTATGCTCATTGTTTTCAGCTTTAAATATTGTCTTTCAGTGATGTAAGCTGCCTTGGGTCCTTTTAAAGGAGAAAAGCAGGCTATAAATATATTAAATAAATAATAAATTAATTTTATTACGCCTGTGTTTTTGAAATCTTAACGTTTGTGTGCCACCTTGCATTTTGCAAGAGAGGTGGGTAGGATATAAAGTAAATACGTTAAAATAATTTGACAGTGCCATATTGCATCTGATAAAAGCGAACGAACTTAATCCAGCAATTTAAACTAAACAGGAAGGAGGGAGAGTGTTAAGTCTAACACAGATGCAAATGTGCAAGGGCCAAGGCAATATAGATCATCATTCTAGGCAAAGGGAACAGGGATGATCTGTGAGGTTAGTCTACACAGTTTTGGCAGGTAGGTACGCCTCTCACTGTTGGCCGCCTTTCTTCCAGCCCTCCTCACCTGGGTGTCTTCTCTTGGTCCGATCCCCATCTTCCACTTGAGGAAATAAAGATTGCCTCTTGCAAGACCCACATTTGCTCATACGACTGAGAAATGGTGGCTGGGGTAGGCAAGCCGGATGGAGAATGCCGAGGGGCTTCCGATGCTGTGTTTCTCGGCCAGCATCTTTCCGGCACTCTTCTCCATCCATCTGCTTTGTTGACGCTCCCAAGACAGTGTGTCGAGCAAACCAGGTGGAAGACACTCAGTTGCTTGATGTCGGTTCGGCCATCGGGACCCTGGTTGGCAAATAGGTTCATAAAGCCACGGCAACTTCTGTGAATAGGTGTAGTAACGGAGCACCCCTCAGGAATGAGGATTTCCAGGTAGTGCCGATTTATTACTGGTAAACGTCCCACAGGTGTGTGTGGAGAGCACATGGTACAAGCTAATTATCTCCGAACCCACAATGGCTACTGGCCTCGGGATGTCCTTGCAGGAATGTGGGAAAGTCTGAGTCTTTGGGACCAAGTCCCTATTTAAAACTAGTTTTTTCCCCCAGATAAAAAGGGGGAGAGAGTGTTGTTGCTATTTAGTCGTTTAGTCATGTCTGACTCTTCGTGACCCCATGGACCAGAGCCCGCTAGGCCTTCCTGTCTTCCACTACTGCCTCCCAGAGTTGTGTCAAATTCATGTTGGTAGCTTCAGTGACACTGTCCAGCCATCTCGTCCTCTGTGGTCCCTTTCTCCTCCTGCCTTCGCTCTTTCCCAACATCAGGGTCTTTTCCAGGGAGTCTTCTCTTCTCATGA